TGATCTGCAGTTTCTGATACTTTCAATAGGTGTGGACTTTGACTAGGCCACTCTAATACATGGAGCTCCTGAGTTTCATCTCAGGCTGTTTGTTTATGGCTTTTGTTCTGCTTGAATGAGACCATTTCAGTATACTCAATCTTGAAAGCTTATGCTGACTTCACAAGAAATCTTCTGCTTTTTTTTTTTTTTTTTTTTTAAACCCGTGAAGTGTTGTTCAGATCAAGGTTTTTGTTAACGGTCTGGTTTCTAAAGGAATTGCATCCTCTCTGCTTTTTCAGATCTTTAAGGAGCGTGAAGAAGATCTGAAGAGGCTATCCAGACCTTTAGCTTGCACGTGCTTCAGGACGTCAATCTGGGACGAAACCTTGTACAAGGTAAGTCAACCCAGCAGGTTTATTCAAACAGTAAATCAGGCTCTGTTTGTAAACACCTGGTTCTGGTGTCTTTGCAGGCCTGGTCCAGCATAGTTTATCAGCTCATCCCAAACGTCCAGCAGCTGGAGACCAACCTGAGAAATTTTGCACAGATCATAGAAGCAGATGAAGTCCTTCTCTTTGAGAGAGCCACCTTCCTGGTGAGAGACAGCGCCACCTCATTCCATTAGATCAGGACTGTGGAAGGTAAAATGTTCTGATGGCGCTGTGCGATCTGCTCCTGCAGGTGATCTCCCATTACCAGTGCAAAGAGCAGCGTGACGCTCACAGGTTCGAGAAGATCAGTAACATCATCAAACAGTTCAAGCTCAGCTGTAGGTGAGTTGACCTGGAAACGGATCTGTCAAACGTTTTCTACCTCCCCGGATCTCTGTGATTTCATATCTGTCCTGTGATTCCAGTAAACTGGCTGCTTCCTTCCAAAGTATGGAAGTTAGAAACTCCAACTTCGCCGCCTTTATTGACGTCTTCACCTCCAACACTTACGTCATGGTGATCATGTCGGACCCCTCTATCCGTGAGTAGTGTGGATGTGCTTCAGTTTATTCCACTGACGTTAGAGATCAAACTGAAGTGAGAGGAAGAGCAGGCCTGGTTTTTAAGAAGAAAGGGTGACCCTGGAGGAGCTGCAGCCCCACGGCTCAGGTGGAGGAATGTGATTAAAACCATCTAATCCACAGTCTCTGGGGATGTTCCTTCAGTTTTATTTTGTTGAAATAGAAATAGATATGAGACGCGAACCCAAACTACAATCATTCTTCCTGGTTTTAAGAAACGAATCAAATCCGTAACAAATATGGTGGTCGTCATTAAAATCCTCTTCTTAAGCTCAAGATTAGGGAAAAAAATGATAGAATCATGACAAAATGAAAATAGTTGTTTGTTTTTTTTACTTGAATTTTATTCTTTTTCAAAAGGTGCAAATAATATCAAACAGAACAATTTTGGTGAATTTCTTCTACAGCATCCATCCAGTTTTTACCTGTAGGGGTTCCTGTTTGGACCATCTGCTGTTGCCAACAGAATTTAAAATAAATAAAGATCTTTTTTCTGAATCTCTGCTCCCATTACATTACCTATTCGGAGGCTGTATCCCAGTATCTTCTAAATTCTTTTCCCAACATTTTCCCAAATTTGGGACAAATTGCTGCACTGCCAGAAGAAATGTGCATGACCACCATCCTGTTCTCCTCACAGTCTCCATCAGGGTTAGATTAAAGACAGGGATGCAGTTTTTATCTCTGGAGTAATAAAGAACCAGACTAAATTTATCCAACAGTAACTTTGCCAATTCCTAGAACTAGTAGGGTTAACCTGGGATTTACAGATGGATTCCCTCATGTCATCATTTATGCCCTCCTATAGTTCCTTCACCCATATGTCCCTATTATACGCCGTTAAGGTTTTCCTATTAACTATTAATCCTTTATACAGTTTTGATTATAACTTTATTACTTTTGGTTTTATATGCATCACTTGTGCTGATTTCGTTACCTGGAGGGACTGGGCTTATCTCTTTTAAATAGTCGTCCTGTACTTGAAGATAAAAATCATCATTTTTTTATTTTTTTTTTTTCCCAAATCGAACTCTCACTGCAGAGTTTGGAAACTTAAAATTTGACCTTTCTTGAGAAATGTGTCCATCCCTTAAATTTAAAATTTATTTTAAGAAGAGCGTTTTAACTCACACTTCTAGTGTTAAATAACACCGCCCTTGGCTTTTATAATGGCAAACAATCAGTCCGGGACTGGGGGTGAAAGTTGGCGATTAATGAATTAATCTCAAGTTAATTAATAAGAGGCCATTTTATTTTTTATCAGGAGGATCATTTCATAACATGGAGGGCTGCGTATGTTTTTAAAACATGCTGAATTAAGAAAGTAGTCAATTTTTAAAAAGTATTTATTCCAGTTTTATTAGATTGACAGAATTAACAAAAACAGTTTTCTTACATATCATTAAACATATTTATAAAATATAAAAAAGAGGAAACTATTAGGATAATTTAATAAGAGGAGTAAAATATGTGAAGCTCTACTGATCTCCGATGAACAGAGATGTTACTGACTTCCACCATGTTTGTTCTGGGTTTGTTTATAAGAGCCTAGAACGACTCATATCTGTGATCTGCTTCCTAAAACACGAACAAACGTCTTTGTCATCCTGGCGGTTTCATCATTTCTGGCGACAAATGTGGTGGAAAAAACGGACGCCACACGTCCCAGTAAATGACACTTTAGGCACGCTTTCCTTCAGCAGCCAAAGGGAAGGTTAGTGAGAGACGACGAATGAAAGTCAGCGGTTCACCTTCATCAGAGCAAATTGCTCAGAATGGCCTAGTCAAAGCACAGACCTGAGTTAAATTACCACTCTTCCTCCAGCTAGAATGAAGAAAATCAGTTTGGTCATCAGGAAGAAGTTCTTTGATGGTTTCAAAGATCTGATGTTTTCTGATTTAATGTTAATTTTTTTTTATCTTCACCAGCTTCTGCAGCGACTCTCATCAACATCCGTAACGCCAGGAAACACTTTGAGAAGCTGGAGCGGGTGGACGGGCCCAAACACAGCCTGCACATGAGGATGCGTTAATTCCTAGAGGAAACCTTCAGCCAATCACAGAGCGCAGACAGCATGGCGCAGCCTCCACGCTTTGATCTATCTAGATCTGTACAGCTCTGCATCGTTTCTGCTCTTTCTCTACGTTCAATCAATAGATATTTTTGGGGGGGCAGTATTGTTTTTGGTTTCTACAGGGATCAGAGGAACTGGTTCCACGTTCTGGATGATTCCAGCTTGGTCCAGCAGTTTAAACGATGTGTTCGCTGAGACGGCTGCCTTTCTTTTCACACTGTTGTATCCATTGGATTTCTGTAGTTTGGGCGGCGCGCTCCTGTGGCGCCGTTCCATTTTCAGCTGCCGTTTTTAAATTGTCACCTCAAATATAGATCTATTTACAAACCTGTGTTTGTGTACGACTGGTTTTTATTCTGTGGGATGTTTGTTTGTTTGCAGAGGTGGAAAATCCAGGTCCAGGAAGTAGAAATCCTGTACAGAGATCAGCTCCAACTGTTTGCATGTGCAGCTCCAGGAGGTTTTATTAAAATCATCTAGTTAAGTGAGCAGGAAGGAAACCTGGGCTGGATTTGTAACTCCCTGGACCTGGATGGTCCACCTAGAGGTGACTCGGTGTTTCTTCAGATGGAACCACCGTTTAAAGGCACAGAGCCAGTTTCTAATGAATGAAACATGGAAATACTGGGAGCAGTTTTATATCAGTGCTTCAGCGTATCTTTACTTTCTGCTCCTGACTTTCTCTAGCTCCTTCCTTCATAATCTGATAAAGACATGAAAGCTGGAACTAAATGGAAAAAAACAGGAGGATAAATCATCTAGTTTGAGAAGATTTTAAATAAGAAATCCAATCCTATTGTTACACTGGAACCTGAACTAAGCCCCTCTCACCCAATGACTGGTAAATTGAGATTAAAATCGGATTAAATATTTCATGAAGAATAATTAAGACGTGAGAATGAAACTTAATCGCTAAGAATGTTTTCATTTATGACCAAAAATAGAAAAAAAATCCATAAACATTTTTTCCCTTTCTCCAGAACTACCTTGATTTCATGTGATTAGTGAGACAATTTGTCATATATGATATTGATTTAGGTTTAGAATAAGAAAACAAACTTCATCTCATTTGATATATATATATATATATATATATATTATATTATTATATTTCATTTCTTTCATTTAAGGTTCTATTGGCCTTTATTTTTGTTATTCTTCAAAGCCTGCCGACTGGAAAGTGGGTTAGAAGAGCAGGGAGAGACATTTGGCAAAGGTCAGGATGACCGGGACTCGGACCTGTTACAGCTGGCATATGGGTCAAAAGCTCTACCTCAACACCTTAGCAGCACCATGTGACATATTTTAAGAGCATTTTCATGGTCAAAACACTTCCCTAAGGAAATCTTTACTTATTTTTTGATCGGTTCTTGCGGTGATCACCATCTTCTCTGCTTTGACTCTGAGACTTTTTTTAAAATGAAATATTCAATATTTTATTTAAAATAAAACAGGACCTTCTAATAAACAAAGAAGGCATAATTAAACCAAATGCTTGAAGCTGTGATGGTCTGCCTGTTAACTACAGATATATTTATTCACCTGAAGAAGTAGAAAGCCTGATGTGTTTATAGAAGCTCCTAATACAAACCCGCTCTATTACTATCGTGCTTCTGGTTCAGTGTTGCTGTGGAGGTGAAATCATTTTTCCCTTTTCAGCTTTGTACTTCTGCTGTCTATTTAGCTTCGAGTTCAAACAGAGTCCAAACCCTTGATCAATGTTAAAGTAACTTTATTTTCAAGCCTTGGACCCGAAGAACCTCTTATTTGGATAAAGTCAGTGTAGAACTAGAACTGGTTGGGGTTTGGTCCATTTTCCATCTCTTAGATGCCCTGAGCGCCTCCTGCAGTACTTTTAGTTTCTCTTATCAAATATGATCCTTCAGCAGTAGATGCCTCAGGACTGTAGCAGCTCTCGGGTTCTGCTTTTGTCAGCATTTCAGGAGGGGACACTCCTAGCACCCTCTCAGCTCCTGTCACTATCTTCTGCTGTGCTCCCCTGTCCACCATATTAGAGTTGGTGTCTGCTGGACCCGTTTGATCCCAGAGGTCTTTTTTTAACCAGGTGAGGTCATCAGAGAGCTGATTTAAAACTATTTGATGATTTAACAAGGAATAATATGATGAATAGAGAAAAACAGGTGAATAAAAACATGAAGAAATCTGGTTGAAAATGGTTGCTTACCCTTAAAAGACTGAGCCATAAAGAAAACACCAAATACTTAATTAAAACATATTATTCTGAATTGGAGCTGCATCAAAAAATTCCTTCAGTTGCAGAGGCATCAGGTAACAAAGTAGAAATACTTTGTTACTTAAGTAGAAATGTTGGCTATCGATATTTTACTGGAGTAATCATCTTTTAGACAACTTTTTATTTCTATTCCTTACATTTTAAAAATAAAGTTGCTAGTTTTGTTTCATTTAAGCTTATTTTCATTATGGGTATTTCAAAAGAATAAAAAACATAAAAATAGTTGCATCCAGACAACTTCTTGTGGTTGGACTCAGTGCTGCCCCAACTTGCTGTTCACCAAATAAATAGTTGTTCAAGATGATGCAAAGTTAAATTTGACCCTGTTACCATTAGTTATAAAACTAAGAAAATGTAGTCTAAGGAAGTTAAAAATGTTCCTGTAATAGGGTAGTGCAGTAAAGCTTCTTTCCTTATCATTTTTTCCTGCATTGCTTTTACTTTTATACTTTAAGTAGTTTTAAAAACAGTACTTTTACGCTTTTACTGGAGTAAAAAGCTTAAGTTTTACTTTCACTGAAGTAATAAACATCAATAATTCCCTGGTCAGTTTACAAAGACCATGTCTTTAATTAAGAGAGAAAATGTTTGATAAATTTTAACCAGTTTTCTCTGAAAAATGTGAAAATTAAATGGGAACTTTTACACAAGTAAGACATCCCATTGAGGTTTAACATTTATTTTAGGAAAATCAACTATTTACAATGTTGTGTTATGGATGATGACGAAACACATAAGACAGAAAATATACATCTTTTGTGTTTTAGAAATGGTGAAGGTCATACATGCATTGCGAAAATCCAAATAGAAGGAAGTCTATTTATTCTCCATTGATTTAAGCAAGTATGACAACTTTTCAAATAAAAAGGTGTTTTTTTTTTTAAATAAGAAAAAAAACAAAAACACATCTCCATTATTTTATTTCTAGAAAATAATATCTAATTATCTTATTTTGAGGGCAAAAATACACATTTTATTGGCATATCATATTATTTACCTGCTCCAATTAAAGGCAAATAAGCAGAGTTTAGGAAAAAGTAACTTATTTTGAATCTTTATTTGCAGCGTCTATAGATTTGGGCTCATAATGAAACCTTTCAACAGAACATTTAATTATCCTGCTTTGGTGGAGAGAAGATTGATTCAAGATGCTCGATATCATCAGTTCCTTTTTTTTGGAGGAAATGGCTTGAATGGCTCCCGCCTCTTCATTGTTCCAGCTCCTCTTATCAACAGCACTCATGTGTGTCCTGGAATGCAAACCAGCCTTTCACTTCAGAGACCCTTTCCTCACAACCCCGGGATGAAAGTTAGTGCAGGACCTTCTGAAAGGCTCAGACGGTGGATCAGAGTTTAAAGAATACAAAGCTTTGCAGATCATCGATATGCAACCTTTTCCTGATCACTGCCTATTTCTGTTGTCAAAATTTTTTTAATCACCACTGAAAATATTCTAAAAGCACAAAGATGAACAAATTTCATTGGGTTTTATTAAACAGGTTAATGCATATTCATGAGGTGGAAGTTAAAATAAACATCGTTTTCAGTGGGACGTCATTTTCCCTTTGGGACTCATTTTTTCTTGGAATATGTCTATTTCCCCTTTTTTTAGTAGAATAAGTTGTTTTAGGTTTAAAATCAGAAAATGTACTCCTTTTAAGTGCTTAGTAACTAATAATCATATTTCAATGCCAAACATATCAGCTCTTTTTTCAGATAATCTTACTAATCTACTCTAATTTAGGGCAAAAACACACATTTTTTGGGAAATATTTTCTATTTTATTGCAGATTAAAAGCTTTTTTTTTCTCTTCACCAACTCTGACCAGCTTCCCTGCAAATATTCCCACAGTATTTTTCTTCCTTCACCCAGTGGTGGAGCTAGACTGTTTCTTTGGGGAGAGGGGGGTGAGGCTATCTCAAGGGGCTCCACAGACACAAGTTTGAGTTTGTTTCCGAAACTTTTGCTAAAGGGGTTTTAAAACAAATATAATTAGGTACATGTGAGGAGCACAGGGGATAAGATCTGTGTTTGTAATTTGTAAGAGACACAAAAATCTAAAATTCAGCTTGGCAAATGTCAGTGAATGAACAGTTTTTCAAGGATCATTTTTACAGACAGACGCATGGTTGTGCCATGGGATCTCCAGTGTCACCTTGGACACCTTCAGAGGAACACCACCAAGCCATTGGTTTAGAGATGTGGATGACACATTCTTCAAAATCCAGCTGAAAGAAGTGGAAGCTTTCACAAAACACATCAACTCGGTTGACCACAACATCAAATTCACCAGAGAGGATGCCAACAACAACAAGCTATCCTTTTCTGGACTGTTTGGTGAGCGTGGAAGGAGATGGAAACCTCAACATTGAAGTGTATAGGAAACCCACTCACACAGACAAATATCTTCTTTTTGACTCACACCACCCACTGGAATACAAACTTTCAGTCATCGGAACCTTACAACACTGGGCTGAGCATGTCCCTACTGAAACAGAAGGAAAACGCAAAGAACAGAAACAAATCAGCAAGGAAATCCAAAAGACGCAGAACATAACGGTGAGAAGATTAAACACAAAAACACCCCATATGTTGCTGGAGTCTCTGAAAAACTCTAGAGGATTTTATCCAAACACAAAATCCCAATACATTTCAAACCAAACGAGACCCATCAACAGAAACTAGTGCATCCTAAAGACAAAACCCCCTGACCTAAGCTGAGTGGAGTGGTGTATGCAGTTCAATGCAGTGAGGAATGCTCTGATCTTTATATTGGAGAAATCAAACAACCTCTCCACAGATACATGGCCCAACACAGAAGAGCAACGTCATCAGGACAAGACTCTGCTGTCCATCCAGGCTCTGACTGGTAATCTGTGATACCGGTCATTTGCCCGGTGGGCCGGTCCTAAATGAAGCGTGTGAGGACCGGCCCTCCTTAAATCATACCAGCCCAAACACTTCCTCTCTGGCCAAAGCACCTACCTGTGACAGTAAATAACTCAATGAGCTCAAGAAGTAATACAATGTTAACTACCTAAATGATGCATGCAGAATATATAGCCCTTCCTTGTCATGCACATCCTTGTGACGGTTGGCATATGGTGTAATTTTCAATTTCTTCAAACTTTAAAATACTTGCAACACACTTAATTACAATAAAAGCAAAATGCTTTCTTTAAACCAAACTGCGATGTTCCTCTTATATTTGGCGAATTTATGTTACAATATTTTGCAGAAAGATGTTGCAGTGCAAGATTGGGGTTTTCCATCTAAAGGCTAACGTTTCCTGTCTTACATGCATTGTTGCCAGGTTGGGATGCTTCTCAATCTGGCTGTTTAGGATGGCTTTAGATTTATGGCCTAAGAGATCATTAGACTTAAGTTCAAATTGGGCGAGATTTCATATAATCAGGCGGTTTATGAACATTTTTTGGGCTCAAAAACGTGAGTCAGTGACTTCTGGCAACCCTACTGATGTGGTAAGTGGCGCTGGTGATGCTTGTAACCTAGTGTGAAGGCTTTGGAAGCCATTCAATTGACTGTGACGGCTATGTGTCAAGATGTACAATTCACGTTATGCAGCAGCAGTCAGTGTCACGTCCGTGTTAATAACTGTGCATCAAACGCGTGCAATAGAGATGATTCCTTCATACTATCATCTCAATCCTCATCGCCATGCAGGGGACCAAGACATCTAGCCTGGTCAGCCAGGCCAACAAAAACCCTAATGACTCCCCATCACTAAGGGGTGGACCTGCTTTCGGTTCAATTTGCATGTTTTCTAGGCCATAATAAGGCTTTTGTTGGGCTACTCTGTAAAACTTGGAACTCAACACTAATTCAGACATTTTGAATTGAGAAAGCTTCCTGGATGGGAAGCGAAATGTCTTCAAACTTGGAAAACAAAGTCCAGTGGTTTGTTTGCAACTTTTTTGGAATCAGTGAGTGAATGTGTTTATGAATGGATTAATATTAAAAACAGAAGAAAAACAAAGGATTAATAACTTCAGGCCTTTTATCAATTTACCATAAAAACCAATGTTGGCGTAAAAGATTTTTAACCCTCCTCTCTTTTACTGCAACTGTTAGTTATTGATTAACAGTTTGTGGCTGATTTTTCATGAAACAAAGCATTTTTTCTGCTTTCAGAAAAGTATGTTTTACTTAAAGGTACATTTAGCTAACTTTATTTTTTTGTGAGTAAAATGTTTATTAAATTCCTGTTCTTTTCCTATACTCTACTGAAATGATCTGGTTTTCTGACATATCAAACATCTGAGGAGGCCAATCAGATCTCAGCGGGGTCACCGTCTAGCTCTGCCCCTGATCCCTCCACCCTGTGTCACTCTGGAACAGTCCAACTGGGTGGACTCTGTTGGGTTATGAATGTTCTAGATGTTGGTTAAAGTTCTAAACTGAAAGGGAAGGAACAACACTTTGCTTTTTTCTTTATGTCTTGGCATGAAAACGCTGACAGCTGTGAGTTTAGTTGGTTTCTTTGAAAGAAGCGAGTTGTTTGTATGACATCCAGTCGCCAAGCACCGCATCTCTTTAGACCCGCTGGTTCCCTGGAGGAGCAGCAGGAGTTCATTTGAACGGGAGCAGAACAACAGATGACATGAGGAGGGAGCTGAACGTCTCTGCTGATGCAAACGAAGACGAAGTTCTCAGGCGATCCTCTGATGGATTAAAAGAAACCTCAGAGTCCCTTTAAACTGACACTTTATTCATTAGGTTCAGGTTTTCCAGTCTGTTTTCTCTGCCTTGTTGACATTTAATCTGCAATATTTATTGAACTTCATTTTAGCTGAAACCTAAAATCAGCTTTGTCACAAATATTCATCTGAGTCTGGTGGGCCATCATATTGGGTATTCTTTTTTTCATTTCTTTACACTATAAATAAAACAGCAACACTGCGACGACTGGCTAGCTGTCCACATATCGCCAATCAGAAACATGCTAGGGACGACATTAATACTGCGCATGCTCAGTTGGACCTCACCAATAGGACAGAAGACACTTAAAATAATTCTTCTGAATTTTTAAGGAAAAAAAAAATTTTTTTTGAGTGAAAATTGTTGCATTATTATTCCAAACAAAAAATCTGACAAAAAAAATCAGAAATATACTTTAAATACATTTCCAATTAAAAAAACGTTTTGAGATCAACTTCTGTTATCTCAGATTTATCTATTAATATCAAATATCAAATTAATTATCTATTAATTTGATTTTTTAAAATATATTTTTAAAAATTTCTTTACAGATTTTATTTTTTCCAGTTTTTATTTATTTTTTATATTTCTACTAATTGTAATCTGTTCAGCTTGTGTTCTACAGACCCCATTCTTATCACTTCTGGGTGGGATTTCCTCTGGAGGAAGGAGCAAAGATGCATTTCTATTGGTCTGCTGGACGTTAGCAACAACATTTTCATTGGTCATGTGAGCTTTTGTACTGGGTTTGAAGTGACCCTGCATAGGTGAGGGTAGTAGAGGAGAGTTGTTTAAACAATCAAGGTTGTAATGTTCGGTTGTTTCTGTCCAGGGACCCATTTGGACCGCCAGGGTCATCGTCACTGGCTGTTTGTGTGCTGGGGGCTGTGTCATTGTTCGCCTCCGCCCCGCAGTCGGTTCTGTTCAGCTGCCGCTCCAGCAGAGTGATCCGCTGCTTTAGCCGCTGCTGAGTGTCTGTGTATTCATTCAGCAGACGGGCGAAGCGAGTCTGAAGGGTGTCTAGGGAGGACTCCAGCCTCTCCACCTTCTCCTCTGTGTCCTCCTTCTGTAGCCCACCCCCCTCTGCGTTCTCATCCAGAAGCCCCTCCTTCTTCAGGATCTCCCTACCCCTGTCCTCAAGCACGGTTTTAGCATCTGGATACTCAGTCACCGCCTCCATCAAGTCATCCTTAGAGAGGCAGAAAAGGTCAGAGTATCCTAAACTTCGGATGTTGGCTGTCCTTCGATTCCCCATCTTACTACCTTTTATGTTCAAAATGCTGATCTCACCAAAGCAGCTTCCTGCAGTAAGGAGAGCGTACTGCGTGACGCCATCGTCAGCTACAACTGCCAGCTTCCCCTCCTTGATGATGTACATCTCCTTACCAATGTCTCCTTTCCTGCAGATGTAGTCCCCTGGACTGAAAACCTGTGGCCGTAGTTTGAGCACAAGCTCCACAAGTAGTCCGGCCTCGCAGTCTTGAAAAATGCGTACTTTCTTTAAGGTCTCCAGGTGTACGTTGATGGCGATCTCAGCCCGCAGTTTGTTGGGCAGGTTCTTCAGCACCTCTTGCTCATCTACGGCTTTCTTGTTGGTCCATAGGTAGTCAAACCATTTGATGACACGCGTCTCCAGTTCTCTGCTGACCTTTCGGAAGTGCATGTAGTGCTTGATGGCATCAATTCGGGCCTGGAACTCGGCCCGTGTGGCGTTCATGTTGGATATCATAGAGCCTACATTTCCCACAATGGTTGCAAAGATCAACACTCCAACAAGGAAGTCAAAGACCACAAACAAGTACTCCTCGTCTCGCACAGGTGCAGGCATCTCTCCTATGGTGGTGAGAGTGAGGGTTGACCAATACAAGCAATAGACATAGCTTCTTGTTAAGGAGGCGAACTCAGGTTTGGTGATGTTTGGAAAAACCCAAGTGTCTGAGCCAAACCCCAGAGACTTGGATATGGCGTAGTAGATGCAGGCGTTCCAGTGGATGATGATCAGGATGTAGAGCACCAGGTTGCAGATGCGGAAGATGTTGGGGTAGTTGGTGCGTGTCTCTGTTCGGTCAAAGAACTCAAACATGCGAGGGAAGCGCAGCAGGCGATTGAAGCGGAGCTGTGGAGTGTGTATGCCGGTGTAGATGTACACCAGGTCAGTGGGCAGGATGGACACAACGTCAAGTTTGAACTGCAACGTTCGGATGTAGCTGTCTCTTAGCTTGGTGTGGTCCTTCACCAGGAGGCCTTCCTCCAGAAAACCTGAAATAACAGAAACGGAGAAGGAACTTAGCAGGACTGCTGTCTCTTTCTAACCTTTATCATGTGCTGCACTCCGGTTTAGTTCTACACAATATGTATCTATGATTACTCCAATCCAGTCTGTCCCAGGGAAAGGAGGGCTTCTGCCATTGCGGATGATACATGCGATGTTATCAGTTATTTTGTTGCTAAGCTACAGAGGCAACAGCCAAATGCATTTGTGGCAGTAACAGGTTTTAATCATGTCCCACTCTTTGCTACATCGCCAACGTTCCAACAGTTTGTCAGCTGCTGAGTCAAGGACTCCTACATCTCAGAAGTAAGACATCATCTTGGTAAATTGATATCAATGCAATGACTGAGTGTGTGACTAACTACATAAACTTCTGTGTAGATAACACCATACCTAGAAGAACAGTGAAATGCTTCCTAACTAATAAATCATGGATCAGGTGATCTAAAGCAATTTCTCAACAAGAAATAACAACCCTAGAGAGGGAGTTAATGAGGTGAATACAGAAGAAACTCAAGGTCAAGATCATAGAAAGCAAGGAGGCATAAAGGAAGAGGCTGGAAAACAAGCTCCAGTAGAACAATGTCAGAGATATGTGGTCAGGGATGAAGAAGATCACAGGCTTCAAGCAGAAGGATGATCAGACAGATGGAAGTCGTCTACAGGAAGGGACACAGCACACTGGACTTCCTAAGGGGGCTTAGGTCCTTCAGCGTTTGCAGCAAGAGGCTACATAAGTTATAAATCTGTCATGGAGAGTGCAATCTCTTCTGCCATTGTGTGCTAGGGTATTACAGCTAAAGACTTAAAAAGGCTCAACAAGCTAATAAAGAAGGCCGGCTTTGTTCTATGAACTCCTCTAGAACCTCTGGAGATCATTTCACAAAGAAAAATTCTTCATAAAGAACAATAACAGAGATCATCATCTTCATCAGATTGTTAAACAACAACAGAATGTCTTTAGTCAGAGGCTTCTCCAGATCTAATGCAAGACAGACCTCTACAGAAGACCCTTCCTGCCTACAGCATCAACACCTGGATAATAAAATAACCAATGAGTTTCTGCAACATTTAGTTTATCTTTGGGATTAATAAAGCTTTTTTAAATTCAATTGAATAGGCAAGGTTAGCCTCCATCTGCAGAGAAAATTAAACTTAGAAAGAAGCAAAATGTGTGTTTTTTTTATTTTTCATATTTTTATTATAAATAATAAATATTTTTGTTTATACAATTGCTCAGAGCTCCAGTACAACATGATCAGGTTAAACTGACACAAATTTTTAAATAAACTGTTGGTGCTGCATTGTTAGCAATGTTAGCATTCATCTGTGAGGCCAAAAGCTGCTATAGCATCAATTATTTAAAACAACATTATGGGGAAGTTAACCAGAGAAAGAACCTTTTTTTTACTCAAACAAGGAATTTTAATTCGTCAGATATTTAAAAATCCAGATTGCTATGCTAGTTGCTGGATAATCTGAAGCAAACGTGTGATGTGAAAGTAGGTGGTCGTCGTTCATCTGCCTGGGACATTTCATACCAAATCATCAGCTGTGGGATATTTTCCATTTGCTTTGTCTGTTGACCATTTAAGTTATTTTCTATAATCTAGCTGTCGAATAAAGTGTTTTACATTTCTCAGTATTAATAAAACAAAAATTTTCTCTTGTGATGTCATAGGTCATATATCACATAAAAACTCAAGGTATCTGTTCAAAAGATGCTTTTTTGATTAAATGTATGATGAAAAAGAAATCCAAACTGTTTACAGTTACACTGAATAAATTAGAATCAGCAACCAGATGATACGTTTTTTGAAAACAACCTTTAAGCTGCTCATTAAGGTTTTGCTGTTAGGTATAATCAGAGTACTTAAGCGTGTTTCAAGGTAACAGACGCTTCTAAAGAGCTTCAGCAGGATGTCAGCAGCTACATCTTTATTGGTTAAAATCAAAGGTTTGTATTTGGCTAGAGGGGAAAATCAGAGTAAAACTGAATCTGAAAAACAGAAATTAGAAAAATATATATATAAATATAAAAAATATCAAATATGTGAAAAAAAAATTGAAATGATAAAATCTGTTAAGAAAAAAACCTCTAAAAAGAACATTGGAACAAAATTCACTTCATATTTTCTGAGGATGTTTTTTTTTTTTCTTTACAACAGTAGAAATAATTTCCTGCATTTTAAGAAACAGTAGAAAAAGCTGAAGAAGAAACAAAATGCTGCAGAAGGCTTAAGGTCCAAATCTATTGAAGTATAAAGAGTTATAGTATTTTTTATGTTATATTTCCACGTTAACACCATGAAGCTTGAACTTAGTAAAAGTTTCTATATAACACTTTGAATTTGCTTCATTAGGGCTGCCTTCTTTCTTTTTTTATCAGATTCACAGATCATTTAAAGAACTCTATAAAAATGTTACCCATATTTGTCCAGCATTAATCGGAAAAAACGCACTTATTTTTTCCCACCTAAACCAATACATTGGTGAACAGAAAATATTTACAAACTTATATCTAGATCTAGATATATTCAGTTTGTTACATTTATTTGAGTTAATTGGTTAAAAAGGTGAATTTTTTCACTCTTTTACAGAAAACATCTTTCACACCAAACAGAGTCATATGCTGCAGTCTAGAAATATCCATGTCTATGGAAAGCAAACCTGGATTAGCGGTTATTTAGTTTTCCTTCTTTATTTAGTCTCTCTAATCTCTGCGTATTTGGTTGTAGATCACATAGTTGTTAATTGAAATAAAAATAATAAAAAAAGAATGCGATCTTAATTCCATAAGTGTCTACGTCCTCATTTAACTGCTGGTTTAAAAATGAAAAACTGAAATGACTGCACTGAAGAAGCTAATTGTTTGTGTTTAAACCTTAAATCTAGACAAACACTAACATCTCTAAAGGGTTACCTGTCCTTAAACGCACAAAACTGTCCAGAATGTAGACCGCATCAGAGAGGTAGTCCAGCACCAGCCAGCAGACATAGCTGCTCACCTGCAGCTTGTCAAAGCACGCCCTGCAGGTAGAGACCGTTAAATGATCCAGTGTTCCAGTGAAAGGGCTGCATTTCTCAGATAGCTGCATCTACTGTCTATCTGCAGGCCAGACACCATAACGATAGTTACAGTAATATAATAATACCTTGCAACAACAAGGAACCAGTTGTAGAGCACCGCCACAGCGATGAAAAACAGCCAGCGATAGTAAAGGTCATCAGACGGAGACACAACAAACAGTTCCCACTTCTTCCTGGAGGTAATAAATAATCACAAAGAGACACAAGTTTTAGAGAAGCAGATTCTAGGAGAACATCTCAAAAAATGAATACATTTACGATTTTGTTGTAATACTTTAATCTACAGTTAAATAACATGTTTCTATTAATTGGCCTACGGCACAAAACCTTTAACTGAAGAAACAGGAAGATAAAACTGGATGTCTCTCTGACCTAATTCAATATTTTAACCCCTTTCGCAGTCAGGGATACCTCAGGATCCCCTTGGCGTTGTTGCCGTTGGCGTCCGGTTGGGTGATGCTGCTCCGACTGGGGGCTGTTCTCAGTTCAGGGCCACGGAAACGCTCCAGGAAGGAGTCAGGCCGCTGCTCCTCCTCCACCAGACTCCTGTGAGCCCATTCCCTCAGCCTCACAACCAGCTTTACCAACCTGGGTGCACAACAGAAAATCCCTCTGAAACTCATCCCAAACTTTTATCTGTATGTGGGAATATAACTGTCAATAACAAATGCATGTGTACATGTCTGTATTTCTTGATAAATTTGATTAGAATAAGTTTAAAAGTTAGGAATAAAAGCTATAAAGTAATAACTTTTCAAAACTACAATTAAAATTTACAAATTCATGAGTATGAAAAGCAAATGTATGATTATGAATCACATAAATAACAAACATATGAATAAAAAACGAAAATGAACAAGCCTATAAATTTATGAGTATGTATCTCAAATGTAATAGTTTGAATCACAAATATAAATCATAAATCTATGAGAACTAATCACAAATCAAGAACTTGTATTTGTTCCTCAATCACTAATTTATTTAATATGAAAAACACATGTGTACAAATTATGGATCCATAAATAGGAATCAAAATTCAAAACTCAGTAGTAAAACTGATACAAGCTCAAGTCCAAATCTACAACCCGTAATGAAGATGTTAGACTCCTTATCAGATGGTGCAGAAGCTGGATTATGATCATGTGTTTCTTCTGTCTGATGAAGACTAAGAACCCTTTAGATGTTCCTATCTGACAAACACAAAATCCCAGTACATTTCAAACCAAACAAGACCCTTAAACAGAGACTAGTGCATCCTAAAGACAAAACCCCCAGACCAAATATGAACAGAGTGGTGTATGCAGTTTAATGGAGTGAGGAATGATATGATCTTTATATTGGAGAAACCAAACAACCTCTCCATAGATGCATGGCCCAACACAGAAGAGCGACCTGCTCAGGACAAGACTCTGTTGTCCATCTACACCTTATGGATAAAGGATATTCGTTTGAAGACCAGAATGTTCACATTTTGGAAATAGAAGACAGGTGGTTTGAAAGGGGTGTGAAGGAAGCCATCGATATTAAGAGAGAAAAAACAACCTTAAACAGAGGGGGTGGAACCTACAATTCCCCATACATGGAAACAGAAGACCTCGCCTGTTCAGCCAGGCCAGCAATTCCCTTTAACGACCCCCCCATTCAGAGACATAGTCAGGTATGGGCTATTACAGGCTTACAAATAAGCCAAACGACCCCCCATTCCATAGGGGCGGACCTGTTCTTTTGGTTCAATTTGCATGTTTTCTAAGCCACAACAAGGCTTTGTTTGTCCACTCGAATGCAACGTTATTTCTGACATTTTGAGTTGAAAAAGCCTCCTGGATGAGAAGTGAAACATCTTCTAACTTAGAAACAAAGTTCAGTGGATTGTTTTTTTTAACCTTTTTTGTATGACTATGACCTGGATGACTGAGAATCTTCACCAGCTATCTGACAGAACAGGAGATCTGAATAAAGGAGATCTGAATTTTTGGACATCATTGCTTCACCTTGAAATGGCTCCATTCCTTTGAAAGGAACTCCTTGAAGCGCGTCCATCAGGGTCCAGAGTGGCGACTCTCTGCAGCTCTGAGGACGTGTCATCCCAGACAGATGGCACCCTGGGGTCAAAGCAATAAAAAAATTAAAACAAACTCTTATTATAACTCAATCCCTCCTTAGGCCATCAGAGGAGGTTCTCCTTACCTGCTTAGTTTACTATCAGCTCTCTCGATCTCTTCTTCCAAGGTGGTCTTCACTGACAGGTTGTGGGGGGACCGCTCTCCCTCCGGAGCCTGGCCTGTCATGCTGTGGTTCTGTGAGGACAAACAGTAGCGATGATGCCTCACTTTCTGCCATTAAACCAGGCTGTCACTGCCAGAGTTTCTCTGCTGCAGGAGAGGGAAGTGTTTGTGGTGCATAAAGGCCGCTTATAGTCAGGGGATAGGGGCCGCCTGAGACCTTCTGCAGTCCCTAACCGGGATCCATCAGGTGATGGCTCGGTTACCGTGGTGATGAAGCATACACAAAGCAGAGACTGAGGGATTTACCTCACTATTTAGGATTCTGATTGAATTTTGGTTTTAGTTTATTTTCTAATCAGAAACTTCCTGAAAAAATATAAAGTTTAGAAACTAAAACCTTTTTTTTAATATAATATTTGTTTGGTGCTAAACGCTCAGCTCATCTTATTTGGTTTATTACATTGCTTTTATTAATTTTTATTTAGTTGGTTATTAATTAACTTTGGCTTATTTTAAGTTGTTTTTGCTGTTTCCAAATGTATTCAGTTATATGCAGACGCACAGTTTCAGACTTGAACAAGAAGCAAAAAAAAAAAACCTCAAAAATTTGAAGACAACTACTTATGTCTCTCCCCTTCTCTCAAACGCCCTTTCCTCTTACTCTTGAAAAAACTAACCACCAGTGCTGTAAAAAAAAAAAAAAAAGAAAACAAAAAAAAAAGAAAACAAA